TGTGTGTGTGTGTGTGTGTGTGTGTGTGTGTGTGTGTGTGTGTGTGTGTGTGTATGTATGTATGTATTTTATATATACACAGTGTTCTCTCTTTCCGTCACTCAGTATCTGTCGTCTTCCCCAACCCTGATCGAGCACCTGGTCTTCTCGGATAGGGACGAAGACAATCTCGAAGGTGCCTTGGGCATGTTTGATGAACATTGGGGAAGAGTAGACTGTTAAGCCAACGCCCTGGCACAATTAAAAAATCAGAAAGATTCCTCTATCAGTAAAAAATAGTTCAGTCATGTCAGTAAATTAATAAGACACGCTCCTTCACCTTACTTTACACCAAACTTAATGACGGTGTCTCTGCCTTGGAGCATTCAAAGAAGTCCAGGTCTGAAGGGATGAAAATAGATAGTACTTGGGAGATCAACATGTATGTCCTCTATGTCTACCACCCAGTCAAAGTTGTATCATGTATATTATTGTAATTCCGATGACCGAACACTTTGATAAGAAGGAGAAGTAAATAGAAAGAAGAAGACATGAAGGGAGGCAAAGACTTAAAACCATTATAAAAAATCACTCACAGCACAACGGCACATAGCCAGTAGTGTATAGATTTGGGTCCGGACATCCTATGTAGAAACAGCCCCGCATCATAATTGGTCCAAAGTATACATGTTGGATGCGTAAGTCGTTTAAAACCATTTGAATTAGGTCCTTCATCGAAGCGCATGATTTTCAAAATTTTAAATTGTTGGCTATTGAGAAGAGTTTCTATTGAAAATATTTATTTCTCTTTTACCAGGTCTCGCAAAGATGAGGTTGCTCAGCGTTGGAGGGCTGATCCTTGTAACACTGATATACCTGGGTGATTTATCCTTGTGGAAAACTGATGCCAGTGCGTTACATGGGAGTTCGGCGGCCGTCAAGTTTCAACAGACGACAGGTGATGCATTGGGCTCGGAAGGCTTAACGATTCCAAAAGCTGATTCGCTTTCAAACGCTGGTTCAGTTCTTAAGGCGGATTCTACCGCAAAGACTGGTTCGATTCCAAAGAAACGTTCAATACTAAAGGCTGAATTAACCCCAAAGACAAATTCGCTTTCAAATGCTGCTTCAGTTCCAAAGGCTGTATCGGTCCAGAAGATTGGATCGATTCCAAAGACTGGTTCAATATTAAAGTCTCATTCGGTCTCAAAGGCTCATTCGGTTTCAAAGTCTAAATCAGTACCGGAAGCTGATACGACTTCTGAGGCGCGGGCAACTCATGAGTTAAGTTTTGTTCCTACGGTAGATTCAATGGCAGCAAAGGAGTCTGCATTGCTATTTGAAAGTCACAGGAACTCAAACAACGATGAGTTGGAACATAACACTATCGGAAGGCCAAATCAAATTGATAACTCACCGAACCCTTTCCGGGGCCACACTCCTGGTCACGAATCGGATGCCTTTCGTCGCGACGAAGTCTGCAATGAGAAAGCTTGCTCAGGGAGTATCTGCTATCCTGGTCTATCGGCCAAAAACGGGATTGAAGATCTGGACTTTGAAGAAAGATCGGCTTCTGACAGCAGAGGCATGTTAAGCTCGACCGAAAGTCAAAAGGAATTTGACATGTACAATTGCACTTGGATCTGTTCTGGAAGTGGAGTGAATTGCTCTAGCAGAAAGTTTTTAAGCGTTCCTCAACGTTTGCCAAAAACAATAAAAGTTTTACTTCTGTCTAAAAACAACATAGAAGTTATCCAGCCATGTGCTTTTTGTGGATACCCAAACCTCACGGCGCTATACCTAGACGGGAATCGCTTGCAAAATTTATCGGAAAGAAGCTTCCAGAATCTAGGTCGTCTACAGCATTTAAGCCTAAAAGACAACTTTCTCGAAATGAAAACCGGAACATATCCAAAAAATGTCTTCTCTGATTTGAAGTCTTTGAAAATGTTGGCAATAAATAAAAACACGCAATGCACAATGTGTCCTGAGATGAATTACCCTGACCAGGCGTTGTCGGTGTTATCTAATCTGGAAGATCTTCGAATAGACGGCCTTTTTAACAAATCGTTTGGGGCAGGGTTCAAGAATTTGAAAGCTGTCACAAACATTGAGATGGGAGGACATGAGGATGGGTATTGTACTCTGCATATGCTAACAAACCGCACGTTCGAAAATGTTCCAACGGTCACACGTTTATCCATGCGCTGGTGTTCGATATACGGCGATCTTGTGCAAGCGGGAACTTTCAAACCTTTGAAAAGCCTTGAAACTCTTATTCTTTATGGGAATTATTATCTAAAGTTCAAAAACTTGCAGGTTTTGATGTGGGGTCTGAAAGACTCCAATCTGCAACATTTGGATTTAGGTAGAATCGAATCCATGTTCTTGCCTAGCATCACCGTCTCCTATGATATGATCAAGAATTTGCCAAGAAGCTTGAAAAGTCTGCGTTGTAATGACAACGGGATTGAAATTCTGGAGAAGTCAGTGTTGTCCAATCTGCCTAAAGGCTTAACGTACATCGACGCTAGTGGAAACAGCTTCGTCTACAGCAGTTATCTCCGAAATTTGTCAAAACTGGAGAATTTGGAAACACTTTTACTAAATGGAAGAAGTACGCTAACAAGTCTGCCACGGTATTTGCCAAAGGGAAGCAACTCCAACTTTCCCCCCGTACACGAACAAGACTTGGGTTCCTCTCGGAGGCAGCTTCGGCATGAACGTTCCCTGGGTTCAAACCATGAAGAGTACCAACTTAGTCTGCCTCCGAGGTTGCTCAGTATATCCTTCGGCTATGCAGATTTGAAACTTCGCCTTACAAGGTTTTCTATAAACCCAAACAATACACTACGGTACCTTAGCATGTGGGCAAATTACTTCCCCTACGCCCTAGGACCTATCTCTGGACTGAATAACGTAACACACATTAATATGAACCGGAGTTTTATTTCCTACCTTCATCCTTCTTTTTTCCAAGAATTTCCGGAGCTTACACATCTTGATCTAAACACTAACTTTTTGAGAGATACGTACACAAAGGGCAGTGAGGTGCGGCTCTTCGAGAATTTGACGAAATTAGAATATTTGAATCTAAGCATTAATCTTATTGAACAATTACCCGATAATGCTTTCGCAGGTGCGAACAATTTGCAATATTTGGATTTGTCTCAAAATAGTATTGGGGAATTCCATCAGAACCTTTGGAATATGAGTCAGTTGAAATATCTCAGTCTCAGACAAACAAGCATTCGTCATTTGCATTCAGACCTCACTCAATTCTTCGATACTTTCGGCCCCAACCTGACTCTTGATTTGTCTCGCTGTCCAATCAGATGCACGTGCGACAATCTCAACTTTATTCGGTGGATGATGAACTCACCGGCTTTCAAATCTTTTGAAGGATACGAGTGCATTTACAAGGACGGAAGTCAGAAGAACATTTTTGACGGCTACCAGGGTATTTTCATGTTGCTTGAACGGGAGTGCATCTCCAACTTCCCTCTTTTTCTGTGGGTTTTAGCCTTGACGATTTTGCTTATGTGCGTCATCATAGGGGTATTGGTCTACCGGTTTCGGTGGAAGATACGGTAAGTTTGGGACCATTACTATCGTTTTGCTGTAACCTCCTTGTCCCTTGTCCTATATTTATTTTTCTTTCTGCATGTCGCTTTATGTTACACTCCGGATGGGGCTGGCCCTCGGTCAGCCTCGCTTCATGTGTGGCACGATACCGTGGAATCTGCTCGTTAAATTTTGGGCATATGGAGGTATTTACATAATCTGAAAGCTTGTTCACTTGTCTTGCCTTTAGTGAATAAATATCCATCTATCTTACATAGATCTAGGGCCAACAATCATAGACGACGGCAAAAGTGAAAAAGGAATAAACACAAGAACAGCATACACAACATTTTAACCAAAAACAAATCAGCTAAATGCTCAAACTATTTACATCTCTAACTTTGAGAGAGAAAATTCAGGAATGTTTTATGGCTCTGAGACTTGGACTTTAACAAAGAAAGAAGACAACACAATAAATGTTTTTGAAATGTGATGGTACCGCAGAATGGTTAGAATTAACTTGAAAGCAACCCAGAAGAACAATGAGGTGTGTCAGATACTCCATACAAGATAAACTCTACTGAATGTAATGAAATGTAGAAAAATACAATACTTTGTTCACTTGAAACGACTCGAGACTGTTGCAAAAGAGGTGCTTAAAGGAAGACAGAGCAACATAAGTGGACACCATAAAAACATGGACTGGGCTCAGTATAGCAGAATGTACAACGGCAGCTCGCGACCGTAAAGGACAGAGGGTCCTTACACGTCAACTTCTGAGTCAGAGATGACACCTCCAGATACCAAGTATCTTGCATAGACGTCAGGATATTTGCGATCGAAAGATGTGGGTTCGAGGTAAACTTAGCAAGAAAATAGCCGCTAAAGTTTGAAAATGACAATGACAATGACAATAACAATCTTTATTCATCTAACATGGAGAAATTTATCTTGGTCGTTTACAATGGCAGTGGAATGTTACAAGGGTTAAGTGCTCTCACGCATGCACACGACAAAACAGTACATTAGTGAATACATGTTTAGTGATTTTCTAAGTTCTTAAGTGTCCTTGGAAACTGCAAACTAACACTCTCTGTGCCTTTGATCAACGTTTTCCACTAAATTCCACACAGAAAAGTGTTTTTAAATGAATATCCCCAAAAATTGTCCCCAACGGTGGAAAATTGTTGTTTGTTTGTTTTTGTAAGTGTTTTTACAACGCTCGCGACTGCATTAGGTCATATGAGCGCGCGGGACACATTAAACTTTTTCAGTTGGTAGGAAATTTTGAATTTTGCCCAGGAGGCGGCTGAAGCCTACTCTTATCGATTTTAGACCACCAAGGGATCTTTAACCTGCACAACTTGCACATGTGCCCTCCGAGATTTTTCGCCCTTGTCCGAGAAGGCTAGGTGTACATCTTTCCTACCAGAAGATCAGGGGTGTGGCTGAAAGACAGCAGTAAGAAGAAGCCAAGGAGTAGCAGTAGAAAATTGTTGACTTCTTCGGTTTCTTCGATTACATTACTTTGGCGAGCGCCTTATTTCACCAATATGCCACACGTACGTGTCTGTCTGCTCCAAGGGTCTTTCCATTTCTTCTCAATTTTTAGACAAGTCGTAATTTTACCGATACAAAAAGTTTTCTGTGCTTATGCTCCAATCCTCTTTTTCTTTTATCAAACACCTCCCTGAATCCCCCCTCCCCAC